CAAAGATTTATATTCAAAAGCGCACACATGCAAGTGTATGATCGTACGCAATTTAGCAATCAAACAGTTTATATTTTTTTTACAAACTGTTTGCAATTTAATAATTTCTAATAGTTAAGTTGCTTAAATGAGCACACAATAAATTTGTAAGGCAAATGTAATTGTAAAAACTAAAAATTGCATATTTTCCAGAACCCTAACGAAATTTGGGAGTAAAACTAACAATTATTATTACAAATTGGTATAGGCCATGATTATCAAACCAAATACAATAAAATACAACAATTAAAAACATTTTAAAACAAGATTTAATTAATTAGTAAATATTTTTAGAATTTTTTTTTCTATTTTCAAACTTAACTAGGTACATAAATTATTCATATCATTAAATAAATAAAATTATTTTATTAATTCATACATGCCTATACATACATACTCGTCGTACATACATAAATGTCTGTACAATTATTTAATTTGTCTGTTATACACAATTCATACATACATAAACATATGAACGCGTACAATATTTAATATGCGAATTATAAATAACTTACTAACTTATTTAAATTTTACTATAATTATAATAAATGCTTATATAAAATTTATTGTTATATAGCTATGTATATATTTATATGAAAAATCATAATACACAACAATGTTATAATAATAAATTTATTGGTAGATATGTAAGTAAATTTGTTTAGTTCAGCAAAAGCAATACACATATGGTATGAAATTGAAGAGACACTGTTTTTTTTTTATTTTTATTTTTTACACTGATGAATATGAGCGATAAAAAAAAAAGAGTGAGAAAAAGATGGAAAACGAGAGAGAGAGAAAGGGAGAACAAGAGAACAAATGAAAGAATAAAAAAAAAAATATTTTGTGTGATTGTGTGATATGAAAATGAGATTTTTAAAATTCTAACCTAAAAAAAAAATAAAATATTTTCTTAACTTTTTCAAGTATTAAACTTTTTATTGTACTTTTTTTTATTTTCATAATATTATTTTAGTTTTTAATGAAAATATAGAGGAATTTAATTATGCCTTTTAAAAAAAAAAAAATTGGTACCTACTTAAATATGAAATTATTCAATTTTTAGTATTGATATTTCAGAATGAATAATAGTATGATTGGAAAATATCAGAAAAGTAATTATAATCAATATGTACATACATACATATATATGTAGATACTAAAGTAGATATTTATTACCTACCTAATCAAAGTTCAACAATTTTTAATTTAGTGATAAAAGGAGAAAATTCGTAAAGAATTTGTAATATTTGTGAAGGAAATGAACGAGACTAGGTACATTCCTACCTAACAATTCTAAATCACATTCATATGGCTAGTTATGTTATACATATGATTACTTATACTTATATTTATTTATATTATTTAAATCATATTGTTATACTTATTCGTGTAGTATTATTAATTATATTAATATGTGAAATTTATTCACTCATTTAAATGCATATTAATATTTATATACATATTATATTATGACGATTTAAATTGAGTAAATTTGGCGACTAAAATTGATTTAAAAAGAGAAAATAGAAAAAAATCAGAAAATTTCAGCAATCGCAAGATTTTTTATTTAAAGTTTTATGAGTAGCGTTTTCTTCCATTAAATTTAGTTAGAACTAATGTCTTTATATCTAACAAGTCCCAATGCTCAGAGAGAAACTTGAAAGCACACCTTATTTTATATGGCCTTTTTTAAATCGAAGTGGCTATTTTTTGAGAAGAAATATTAAAATAAATTCACACTTATTATAAAGCAGGTAAAATTTAGAACATATATTTGAAAAATCAAAAAAATATATTAATATTTTCATTGATAATTATTTTAAAATTTAAAAAAAAAGCGGAAAAACAACAAGCACATCCTTCACCTTTAACGTTTTATATGTTACTGAAAGCATTTTATTATTTTTAAGTTAACAGCTTTTTTTTCTAATAGGGTAAGTTAACGCAAGATATGGGAAGTACCTGTGGTGTCAAGTTGAAAATATAATTAATGAAAGATAATTCTTAAATATTGATATAAATACATATGTAGTAAAGAAAAAATTTGAAGAGGGAATTACTAAATAATATCTAAAATACAATCAAATATTATTTGTTAAATACAAATTTTATATAAACTTCAAAATTTTACCTCTATTTTTATTTGAAAAAATATTAAAAACTTACTATCATTTATATCAATTACCTAAGAAAAAAAAATATTTAAAATGTTTGGAAAAAACAATCATATATTTTTATGACCGGATTTAAATATTTTTCTATTTTTGAAATAAATGGTATTTTACCAAATGACTCCAAAATTCCGACTGTAAAATAACAGGTATTTTAAAATTTTGTTCAGGTATTTTAAAATTCTTTCCGTTTAAAATTAAGATAGGTCATACATACACATGCAGGGACATTTTATAAATAGATTGCTCTTGTTTACCTGCTAATAAAATATGAAAAAAGAGCACAGCAAAATTTTTGAAGCACTCAATATAACATGTTTGAAATAGTTTTAAAATAATTATTTAAAAAAAAATTTATTGGAAGTGGTACATACATATTTATTTTTAATAATTTAAAAACTAACTGAAATTATTTGAAACAATTTTATAAGTAACGTATGAATAATCGAAATGAGATAATTCAAATTGTTGAAATGTGTCAACCTATATTACTTTTAATAACATTTTTGTTAGCCGACACTACTCAACTTACCTTATTGGGAAATACAAAATGTGCATAAAAAATCATACATCCTTCCTCATTAACATTTGAAACCATACTGAAATATGAATTTGAAATTTTTTTCATTTTTTCTTTCCTCCTACCTTTCTTTCTTTTTCGTGCAATAGAATTTAAATGGGAAGCTTTTTAAAAAATGTGTATAATATCCTGAGATTTTTTAAAATATTAATCTCTTTTTTACGTAAAAAAAAAGAAAAAAATAATAAAAAATATGACACGATCAGTGGCATTTAAAGAAAAAACCAACAACGAGGCCAAAAATTCGTAACATTTCGTAAAAAAAATTGAGTATTGGGACTTGTTAGATATAAAGACATTATTAGAACAATTAAGTATTTGAGTTTTATTTCAAAAAAAGAGAACGTTTTACATTATTCGACTTATTACTGTGTTACAAACTCCCCCTCATCGCACGTTTTTCCAAAAATCAGTTTATCTATTTATGACTTATTATTAATATTTAACATTTTTAGATATTATAACACATATTCATTTTCTATTGCTGGTTGGTACCTATACCTAACTATTATAAACTCATAAACTATTGAATAGGTATGTTTATATACTTACTTATTATGGGTTACCCATCTACCTACCTATGTATGTTAAATATAATGTAGTTGTCATTACTCAGAAAAAGAAAGATAAAATTTCTTAATTTTTTTTTTACAAAAATCATTAATATAGCAAATAAAATACAAAGAATTAAATTTTTATTTATGAAATACAAAATTATATTATATGTATAAAAAATATATGTATCTGGAATATTGATATAAGTAGTTAGATATGTAGGTATATAATGTAGACACTATAAAATACAATGTAATGTAATACAATCTGAACAATTGATTCCCTTTAAAAAAAAAAAAAAATACAAGATAAAATCAAAATTGCAAAAAGAAAAAAAAAATGGTATTTATGGGTGTATATGTACATATATCTACCTATATATATATCTATACTGATTTATTAGCTACCTACCTACATGTGGGCACGAATAGGTGTTAAAAGAAAAATTATATTTTATATTTGAGACATTTAAAAAATTATGAGACTTCTTTATTTTCAAGTAATTTCAAAATTCGAATATTGTAATATTCAACATAACCTAAATTAATAAAATAGTAGAAAATTGTGAATTTAATTCACAAAATTCACAGCACAAAATTTATGTAGTGCTAATAAATGTTATTTGAAAATATTCTAATTAATTATTAATGTGTACCTATACCAATCTACATATATGTACATATATTTTCTATCTGGGCGAAAATTAAAAAAAAAATTACATTTGATTTAAAATTGAACAATTTAATTGATATTTCATCAATTAAATTCTCGATGGTCTTATTCACAAATCAAAAAAGAAACTTCAATATTATCTACCTATTTAAAATAAAATAGATGGGAAATTATCCATTCACTGGTTAGTCTAAAATATATACATATATATATATATGTCTAACTCGGTAGGTGTCTACTTACCTAGTTTTTAAAAATTTGAAAATAAATCCCTTAAATCAATAGATAGAATAGCATGTGTAACAATTTTAATTACCTACTTTAAAATGCAATTTATTAAAACGCAAAAAATAATATATGTATGTGCATATATGACTTATACCTATAAATACATATACGGGCATACATACCTTACATTATAATTTATTATAATATAATTTTAAATTTCCAAATAAATCGTGGTAGGTATAGGTAAATCTAATCAATATTGTAAATGACAAATATTATTATTGCCAGTATATTAAATCTAGTACCTACTTAAAATACAATATAATTTTTCCAAAATTTTTTTGAGATTCTTAAACTTCAAAGCTAAATTTTTCTTTATGTCAAAAAATAAAGAATATCGTAAGTATGTATGTATGTAATTTTAATATTCTTGAATCTTGGAAAATATTATAATTATTTTTAATTGTCAAGTACATATGGAGAAATATGTTTGTGTGTGAGGCATATGACATATTATACATATACGCAATACATATGAAATTTAAATATTTTAAATAAATTTTTTTTTAATAAAAATTATAAAATTTTTTTTTTTGATTACTGTAAATTTTTCATAAGGGGTGAAATTTTTAAATTTTGCATAATTATATTTTATAGCATATTTTTTTTTCTTCTCTCTTCCTCTCTCTCTCTCTCTCTTTGTATGAATATTTAATTATATTTGTTTATTTAAAATAATATTTTGTACTTACCAAATTTTTGTTTAATCCCTAAAAATCGACACAATAAGAGATGGAAACAAAAGAAACAAAAATTTATTGAGAAAATTTAAAATGAAAAGAAAATTTTTTTTTATAATTAAATTTTTTTCAAAATTTCACTTAAGAATTTTTTTTTAATTTTTTTGGTCACTACCACTTTTTATTTTCATATATTAATTATATATATATATAGAGATATAATTTTATTTAAAATACAATTTATACTTATATGTATGTATATAATATATTAATTATATTGCATATACACATGCATACATATATATATATTAATACACATGTATATTTAAATTTTTTTTTCTTTATGATTATTTTTGTTCTAATTTTTCAAATAGAATTTTTTTTTTTTGATTTTTTTTTCTTCTTTATTATTTTATAATTCTTTTTCCTTGAAAAAAATTTTTTTTCACTCTTCTTCTTCTTGTCGAAAAAAAAAGTCACACAGAAAAAAAAAAATTTACTTTTTTTTTCTCTCTTTTTATATTTTTTTTCTTTTTTTTTTTTTTTATTAAAAATTCTCTTTCACAAGAAAAAATTTTTTTTTTATTTTAAAATTTCTAATAAAACACTTCAATATTATTTAAATTTTATATAAAATTTTGGTCCAATATTATTTTTTAAATAAATTTCATTAATTTTTTTTAATTAATATTAATGATTTTATATTAAATTTGAAATATTTTATTATTGATTGAAATTGAACATGAGCCTTACATTTCAGCCATTTTTAAAAAATGGTTGAATAGATGGTCGGGATTGATGCGAGTCGAGCCGACCCATCGTACTGAAAATATATTGCTATAAAAAATGACATTAGCTGACAAATTTATACTAGTAGCCATAATGGTAAAAATGTAGTAGTATAAATATTTTATATGATTTTATGAATGAATGTGTTAGTATTTACTATAAAATACATGAAAATTTTATATTTTTCTTATTTTTATTTTTCTAGTTATTTGACATTTTATAAATTTAATGTCATAATTGGCATTTTTTCCATATAAATTATTGATATGTAGATAAATGTGTATATTTTGTAAAAAATATTTATTGGGATTTTATAAAATAAAATTTTAAATTATTTTAAATGTTTTTTGGGATTTTATAATATTTTTTTTTGAGGAAAAATTATAACTACAGCATGTGGAACAAAAAAAAATATTTTTGTTGATCATTTGTGAGGGTGGACACACGATTAATCATTCACTGTTTTTTTTTTTTGTTATACAATTTCTTGATGAGTTTCTTTACGGTTTTAAAGACGCTTTTTTAGGGCGTTCTTATACTCAAATCTAAATGTTCAAAAAATAACTCAAACATAATTTCAATAAGATTATTAATATTCCGATTTATTCTATATATTCCTTTAACATTGCTTGTTTGGTTTAAAGTTTTGTGCTCAATTTTTATCTTTTTAAAAGGCTCTTCTTTAATCATAGAATTTTTCTAGTAAGGAGGGAATTCCGTTGTGCGATTTCTATCGGGTGGTTTTACCTAAATATTACTTTTATATTTTATAAGTTTGAATTGTCTCATCGCAATAGACATCTCATACGATTTAAGAGCTTATGCTATGTTTTGTAATATTGCTGATTCAATCGTTATATTTCAAACATCTATATATTTTATTTAAAGCGAGCTAATTATGTGACCTTTGAACAAGTGCTTAAAATTGTAAAATGAAAGTACTTTATTTTTCAAGTGAAGTTATATACAACATAACCTTAGTAAATAAATTTTACTATTCCATGAAATTTCCCTTGTTCTAAATATAATCCTTGCGTGTTTTTTAACTCAGTTTTGCGCAAATCTTAATTTGACAGTACGCCTTAAAAAATGAATTTCGTTTGTTTACGTTCTGGTATGTGACGTGTTTAGGTAATTTTTTTTTAATTTTAATTCTTCATATGTAATTTGTAATTGTAATTTTGTAATTATTTCATCTCGAAATCTTATTTAAAAAACTGAATTTTAACAACAGATTATTGCAACTCAACTTTTCAAAATAACAACAAATAAGGAAAAATGTTGGATTTAACAGATATGCAAAAAATTGGTATAGGCCTGGCAGGTTTTGGTATATCATTCCTTCTGCTTGGTGTTCTATTACTATTCGATAGAGGATTATTAGCTATAGGAAATTTATTATTTTTAAGTGGATTGGCATGTGTTATAGGATTTAAGAGAACAGCAACATTCTTCTTTCAAAGACACAAGATAAAAGCAACTATCTCATTTTTTGGCGGATGTGCCATAGTCATTTTTGGTTATCCATTAATTGGAATGCTTGTTGAGTCATATGGATTCTTTCTACTATTTAGTGGATTTTTCCCAGTAGCAATCAACTTTTTAAGGCGGCTACCAGTTATATCAACATTTTTGAATTTACCATTTATAAAGGGTTTTGTGGATAGGATAGCTGGCGATACCAATAGGACATGTGTGTAAATTTGTTTTTAATATTCCTTAATTTAAATACCTAGATATTTTTGATAATTATATTTAAAAATAATTTTTAGTTCAATAAAATTAAAGCATACTGGATTGTTTACAAGTGTATAAAAGAAAATTTTATTTTATTTTTGCGATTATTACCTGTTTGGGTGCAAATAGCTGAAATATTAAATACATATAACATATAATTATACGTCGACTTTTTTAAATAAATTGAAATTTACTTACTTTTTACAACTTTTATTTACTTACATTTTATAAACCGAATTTTACGTATACCTACATACTTGTTACATGGACGTTTTTATTACTTGTACAAAATATGAGGGTGGGCTGCTTTTTTCTTTTATATTTCGTTTATATTTGGCTTGTAGGTAAAATTTGAGTCTTTGACACTTCTATTTTCATGGACTTTAAAAAATGAGAAAAAAAACATTAATCCTTTTATTGTTTTTATTTTGAATTCAAAATATATAATTTTTAGCAAATAGGTACTTAAAATAAAACTTATTTTATTGATCGAAGAAGAAAAAATTTATTTCCATAATTTCTTTATTGACATATTCTTTTCTGAATCTTTTTGCATAACCTTAGCAACCGCCATTTCAAAATCTTCCTGTGTTACATGAACACGCCTTTCTCTTAGAGCATACATACCAGCTTCGGTACACACACCTTTAACTTCCGCTCCTGATGCGCCTGGCATTAATTCTGCAATTTTCTTTAAGTTTATACCGCGTGTTAAATTCATTTTTCTTGAATGAATTTTTAAAATATCTAAACGTGCCTCTTCATTTGGTGGTGGGAATTCAATTTTACGATCAATACGACCTGGCCTTAGTAATGCTGGATCCAAAATATCAATTCGATTTGTTGCCATAATGACTTTAATATTTTTAGTGGCTTCAAAACCATCCAATTGATTCAAAAGTTCTAACATTGTACGTTGTACTTCGGAATCACCACCGGCACCAGACTCAATACGAGAGGAACCAATGGAATCGATTTCATCCATGAAAATAATTGATGGAGCATGTTCACGAGCCATTACGAATAATTCTCTAACCATACGTGAACCTTCACCAATAAACTTCTGTACTAATTCAGAACCAGAAACGCGAATAAATGTACATTCTGTGTGATGTGCAACAGCTCTTGCCAAAAGAGTTTTACCAGTACCAGGAGGTCCATATAATAAAACTCCTTTAGGTTGAGCAATTCCAAGAGCATCAAATAATTCTGGATGTTTTACTGGTAATTCAATCACTTCTTTTATTTCTTTTATTTGTTTATCTAAACCACCGACCATTTCATATGTTGAATCCGGAACTTTTTCAACCATCATAAGTGATACCAGAGGATCAACTTTATTGGGAAGAATTTTATGTAGAGTGTAACTTTCATTGCGTAGTGCCACCCTACAATTTGGTGTCACATCGTTAATGTCAATATTCTTATCTATATCAACTACAAATTTTCCTTCTGGATGAACTTTAACAAGAACTTTCTTTTTATCCATAGGTTTAACTACTTCTCCAACATAACTTCCTTGTTCTTGAAGTAATTGAAGCTCTTCTCTCAACATTCGAACTGAAATTTCAATAAAGTAAAACGTGTTTCGTTATATTATAAAATAAATTCCTTACCTTTAGCATTCAGTTCGTTTCGCTGAGCTTGAAGACGACGTAAATTTTGACTTTTTTCAGCAACAATTAATTGTAATTCTTCGATTTTTTGAATGTAATATGAACGAAAGCCTTCACCTTTCGTGATGTCAACATCCATCTGCAATAATACAGACATATTATGCTAAATTGAATATATTGAACATATTAAAATCACTAAAATATTCTTACCTTGTTTTGAATAGTCATTTTGATTAAAATTTGACTATTAATATTCTAAGAATCGAAATATCTTTTAATTATTTTTATTCTATTTTAATTTGCAATGCAATTACTCGGCAATTTCCTTTATATGTCAAATTTTTGAAAGTATATCTGAGCAAGAGTTTCCCAAACTGTTATTATTATGGCACACAAACTTTTTATTTAAATTGGCAGCAATTGTTTTTGAGTTTATATTTTAAGTTAGAATTTAGATTGAATTAACCCCTTGTGCTAAATGTTCAATAAAATATTTTTTCTAACATTTATTTTAATTTTTAAAAAACAAACTTAAATACTTCATGTTTAGAGCGAAAAAGTCTTCGAAAATACTTAATGTTTTAAAGATTTAATTTTTTATGTAAAAACATCCCATGATTTATTTAAAGGATTCTCTTGAAATTTTTGTATTTCAGGGGCCAATTTTATATTTTCATGACAATTGGACTTCAGAAATTGAATTTTATTTAAATAAACATATTAAATTTTAAAATATTTTGCGAAAAAACACAAAATGCCGTCGATTATCAGCTTGTCAAATCAGAATTATATGTTGTAGGCATGACAATGGAGATGTTCGAATGTTTGGTTCCAATTTTGATCTTAATACATATAGATTATATATTCTTAGCACGATTTTTTTCTATATGGTGCAAAAATATTTTAACATTGAAAAAAGTTACATAAACAAATGTAGGATAATTTATAATATTAGAAAGTAAACTAGTTATTTTCTGCAGATTTATAATGATACGAAGATTTCGAAATCTATGTTTAAGCACATCTGCATCATTAAAAATCCGCAATAACAATATAAAATGCGATCACAAGCCCGATCGTAGGGGGATTTTCGATAATTTAGATATGCACTAAAAGTTCTAACTTTTCACTACTTACAAATTTCCCAAAACTTAACATTTAACCTTTGTAGATTTGTAACGTACTATTTCGTAACTATTATTGTAACGTAATTCTTTTACATTTAATATTTTTCTATAAAACTTAAAAATTTCTTTTAAAACTTTAAAATACAACTTCTATTTTCAAACATACTATTTTTGTCGAGTTTGCAATTTGGGTTTTTCGAAAATCTTCTAGCTTTTCAAGATGCTTAAAAAAAAAACAGAAAAAAAATTAGTAAAAAAAGAATCAAACTATGAGGAAAATTTTATAATTTCCTTATTTTATTTATATTTTATTTTTAGTTTTTCTTTTATAATATCCAATCAGATATTTTATAAATTTCTTTTTAAGATTTATTTAACAAAATCAAGTTTTCGTGCTTTTAAACTGCGGTATTTTTAAAATCAAAGGAAAAAAAAATCTACTAAAATATACATATCAAAATATTTATACATAATGTACTTGAAATCAAATTTTTTATTTGCAATCGAATTATTAAAGAAATTTAAATAATTTAAAATTATGACCTCTTGTTTTCTTTATTTATATATTTTCATATTGATTTTATTTCTAATAACTTAATTCTTATGTACTTTAGTTTTATACATATATAATATAGATATATATTACATTGAATAATATAATAATATATTATATTATATACATGTATGAATATAATATTTATAACTTAAAAATTTCATTATAAATCTATATAGGTATATACATAATAAATGTGTTGATTTTTTTTTTTTTTGCTGATGGCATAAATTAATTCAATAAATAAATTTTTTTGTGTATTATTTTTTTTTTTAAATAAAATGCCTCTTATATTCTGTATTATATAAGATTGAATATATAGTTTTGTATATTGTATATATATATATATCTAAGTTTAATACGTATATATTACTAAGTTTTAAGTAAAAACGTAACAATCATTACATGCACAGGTAGTTTCTTATTTTTTTTTTTGTTTTAATAACTTAAATTCTGAAAAATAATTCTATCTATTTTTAAATTCTATTTTAAAAAAATTTAATATATGGATTTTAATGCAATTGAATTCAATCTATGACATCACATTTATTTTTTTTTCATATTTATTTATCTGCTGCTTGAATATTTAAATCTTAATTAGAAAATAAAATACAAAAAAAGAAAGTGAAATAAAAAATCAATTAATAATTACATACATTATTATTTTTACTACTAATTTTAGAATCAAATTTTAAGAAATGCGAAGTGAATTAGAATTATATATGTATATTTATTAAAACAAATTCTCTAAAATTAAAATTTAAGAATAAAAAACTTACAAACACATTATTTAGTTTAAATTAAACAAAAAGAAAAATAAATTTACTATTATTTAGTTTGCCTTTTAAACTTACATTATTAAACTTATAATTTATAAGTTTAAAAAAAAAGAACAATTTTACAATATAGTACATACAAATTTATTATATATGTGTATAATATTTTAATAATACCAATCGTGTTCTTATTAAATTTTAAAAAAAAAACATATTAAAACAAAAAAAAAGTAAAATTAATTTTTCTTGTTTTTCACTAAGTAATTGAAGAAAATTTTTTGTTTTTTGTCTTTCTATCTTAAAAAATACAATTATTTATTTCTTTCCTAAATCTTGAAAGTATAACGCCATATTTATTAAAAAGGAAAATATTTTTTAATTTTTATTTTAAATATTAAGTATAAAATAAAATAAATTACTATACTCAATTTTAAACGCCTTTAATAATAGTATTTATCAATCATTACCAACAGTATTATTTTCACTTTCTTTATCATCATCTTCATTACTACTATTATCATTGTCATCGCTGCCATCATTACTATCATTATTATCATCTTTTATTATTAAATTAGTTTCGGAATCATTTTGTGAATCTTCAAGTACAGTTTCCCAATTCTTATCGGTAACACTTATATCACTACATTCATCATCATCATCGTCATCAGGCTTATTATTTATATCGTTTTTTATTGTTAGTTCATAATTTGTTTCATTGTTCATTTCATAATTTTCATCTGTTTTAATTGGATATTTTCTTGGTCTACCTCTTCTTTTTCCAATTCCACGTCCACCACGTATACCCAATGCTTTATCTCTTTTCAATTTATATCTGGATTTTACAGGTGGACGACCAAGACGTTTTTTTGTTTTACCTATTGGTGAATATCCGATTGGACGACCTCTTTTTTTTGTTGGTAATATGTCCGATGTTAAACCGTTTTCCAATTTAGCTTCAATAGTATGATTATTTTCTATTTGTGTAATAGGACTCTCATTCTCATATTTTATATATGGTCGGTCTGATGTATTAACTTTTATTAATCTTGGACGACCTCTGGGGCCTCTGGGTTTAAAAGGTTTTGGTGGTCCTGGTGGTCGACCAACTTTTCTACCAGGTACTTTTATTTTTGGGGGTCTATCTGGATATAGTTTTGGACGTCCACGTCTACCAGGAATTTTAAGACCTTTTGGTTTATGATTTTCTACATTTCTTTCAGTTTTGATTCCTGAATCTGTTTCAGTTTTCATTTCCACATTTGTTTCAGTTTTGAGTTCTACTTTTGTTTCAGTTTTGAGTTCTACTTTTGTTTCAGTTTTGAGTTCTACATTTCTTACACTTTTGATTTTTGGTGGTTTGTTAGGGTTAGGTTTACGACCTGGTTTTCCTGAAAAGTTTTCAATTATTTTCTTTTACTTATTTTTTATGTTTAAAAATTTATACCTCTAATTTTTGGTGGCTTTGGAGGACCTTTGGGGCGGCCCATTCTTCTTCTAGGTTCTAAGGTAATAGGTTTTACATTAATAATTTTTTCGCTAACTTGTGATGAATTTACAGATTCATTTTCTTTTATCTTTATTTTATCTTCATTCTTTACATCGGATTTGGTATCGTCTTTTTCAGGTGCGTGAATTTCATTAATTTTATTATCAATAGGAGAGTTTCCATTTGAACTACTTTGCACTGAAATTGATTCCATTGCTGGGTTATTACTCTGTGAATTTTCTTCATTTTCATTGTCTACATTAATAGTCATAGGTCGGCCACATTTTCTTTTTGAAGCAGGAGAACTATCTTCTGTCGAATAACCTGATGGTTTATCTCTTTTAGTTTTCGTTTTATGTTTTTGATATGGGCCAAGAAATCCTAATCTCAAACTAAAATTTTTTTTTTCTGAACCATCATCACTTTCTGTATTAGACTTAGTATTTGTTTCTGGAGGAGTTTCTTTTTTTTTCATTATGTATCCTTTGGGTCTACCACGACTTCTTTTAATTTCTGTTGTTACTACTCCAGACACTAAATTTTTGAAAATTTCAAATGCACACATTTAAAAATTTATAATAAAATTTACCTTTGTTGGCATTAGCTTTATCTACATCGTTTATATTAAATTCAACTTCTCTCAGTACAGCCAATTGAAAAGCCCCATTTGACAAATTGCCGGTCTGTGAAAAACCTGGAAATCCTAAAATGCTCAATTTTTAATATCCTATTGTTTTTGTTTTGCGCAATTTACCATTCTCCTCTACGCTATGGTTAATCATATCTGATTTTTCTTCAACTTCGTCATCGTCATCGTCTATAACAATTGGAGTATTATTATCAATTTTCCTAATTCCGGAAAAATCGTTGCTTTTCCTAGGGGATGTTACTGTAATATACCCATTTTGAATATTTCGTTTGCATATAGTTGTTTTCGGTAATGATTGTTCAAGATCACAAAATTGTTCCAAAGCGTCTTTTGCCATTGTTGTTTTATTTCATGCATATGCCACTGTTTAAAATTAAGAAAGTTTAAATTGCAAACTGATAAGCATTCTCCAAAATATTTAATTTTTATTTTATTTGTATAAAATGGCTTTTCCAAAAAAAAAATAATTAATGATGAAACTATGGCGTGCCAATTATTATTTAAACTTCAAAGCGGCAATCAAATTTTGAATGCCAATTATGACAGTAATTGACAAAGTTTATACAAACAAAATCAAAAATGTTATTCTGAATTTGTGGGAAATTTTTTGGTACTTTTTTTAGGATTACGCAGTGGCATCTATCAGATGATTTTTAAAACTAACCGTAAAAAGTAGTAACAAAATAATTTTCGAGTTACCGTTTATTAAATTTTTTTCGCTAAATATTTTTTAATTGGCAATGTGGTAATTTACTGCATTTTTAATCTGCAACACTTAAAAAATCTATGTTATATGTACACATGGTCTTTTTTAAATACAAATTGAAAATCACCCAGAAACAGCTATGCTTCCTTTGCAGAAACAAACTGGCCTAACCCTCACTCCCAATGTTTTTGTTTTTTTTTTTAAATAAACGAAAACTAAAATTCTTACTCTTTTCTTTTCAAAAAACTCATAACATGAAAGATTTTATGAATATTTTAAGCAAAACAAAATGTTAAATATATTTTATCTCGGTAAAAATTTATGTGAGTTAGGCCATTTTACTTTTGAGCTCCTCATTTCTAATTAATTGTTTTTTTTAAAACACAATAAAATACATTTATTTTCTTTTACTTATTCCAATTCTTTTCCAAAATTTCTAAAGTTAAAACTGATAGCGGAATATTTATGAAAATAAACAACAATTACAGAAATAGTGAAAATGGCGTTTTGAAAGAAATGTCTTTATGAAAATTAATGTAAAAAATAATAACAAAAATTTCCCAAAAATTTGGTCTTTTTTACAAAAATTTTGAAAAACAAAAAATCCAAAATTCTCACTTTGGGTGGTTTTTTCCCGAAAACTAAAGGTCAGACATTATTAATTGTAAGAACAATAAAGTTGGGTCAAACCAATGGTTTGTATTGTAGCACTTTTCCCTTCAGCAAGTGAAAATTCTGCTTTTAAATACAGTCTATGTATACCTATCACACATTCTAAAAATTATTTTCATTCATATACAAAACTCTTTCTAGGATTGCATATATTTAGGATGACGCAGTCTTATAAAGCAAAAATTAATAAAAAGGGGTTAACATAATGCTCGATTTTAAGGTTTAATTATGTGAGTTAAGAAAAATAATTATATTTTTTAATGTCATGGAATTTACCGTTAGCTTTTTGTGTTTATAGAAATTTGAAAAAGCTTGCGGTTTCGGAAATATAAGGTGTCAAAAATTCAAATTTTACAAATTTTAAGAGGCAATAACTCGAGAGGGGAAGGAGATGGAAAAAAATTTTTTTCCAACGAAATGAACTATTTGTTAATGTCTAAAAGCCCATAAAATTTCAAGCTTCTACAGGTTGGGGTCTAGAAAATAAACGACATCAAAAATTTGGAAAAAACGGACTTTAGATAACGGTAAATTTGAGCGGCCATTTTGTTTTCTAAAGTTAACCTTTAGTATACCCCGCTAGGGGAAGCAAGCCACTGCCTTTCTGCGCTTGCAAAATTTGAAAAATCCTTATGGTTTCATTGCACTAAATAGTTAAAGAATGGCATTTTTAGGGTTTCGGGGGGTATAACTTCTAAAGGGGGGGAGATAGGTAAAAATTTTGTTCTACAAAAATAAGTTTCTAGTAAAAATCTATGTACGTACAAAATTTCAGCTTTCTATCTTCAAGGGTGTAGAAGTTTTGTAAACAGACACACGGACGGACGGACGGACGGACGGACAGAGTGAAACTAATAAGCACTTTTTTTCAAAAATTTTTTGGAAAAGTGCTAAAAATTAACAACTATCAATTATATTTAAAACAATGGTTACACTATGTTGCACGTCTCCCAAGTTATTTGCATTTATCATATGAGGAATTAATCTGGGACCGATTTTTTGAACGGGTATATCTGTATATCACATAATGTATGAAACATATGATAATGTTTTCGGTCTAAGATCATAAAAATAGAATTAAAAATGATATATAGGAAACCTGAAAGTTTATCATTCCTTTTTTTGTTGTTCGCTTAATTCTGCAGAAAAAATATACTAAAAATATGTTCGTCCGTTCACTCACACGTACATAATAAAACCTTAATTGAAAATAGGGAAACCTATACTATTTTTGAAAGAACATAAATGCCTATAAATATATGTATGTAACAAAATATTTTGCTTACATATATTTACAAAACTGTTATATTTACATACATATTATGTATATTTTTGTAGTATTTTTGCTATATTTGAAATAAATTTAAAAATTCATAAAAAATTCGTCTTTGAAGAAGGTCAGTATAACTAAAAAACATATATATATATATATATATATATACCTTTGATATATACATATTATGTATATTCTAAATTTGCTTGTTAAAATAATATCAAAGAGGCACATAATATTACAGGTATACGTACAGGTTAATTTGAATATGTTTATATCTGTATATAGGCAGATGATGACACAAGAGGCATAATATGAAATATGACATGTTATTGTATGCATGTATTAATATTTTGTTTTGCAATATCTAATTTTACTAAGCCTAGTGACAAACGAACAACGGACGCAAGAGGGGGCATAACCGAATAATGACAATAAGATTTTTTTTTATAATGAAAGACCGATGAAAATTGAAATTGTTTGACATAGATTAGGGTTTTTTTAGCTTAAATTTTGAACAAAAGCATATTAGTAATTAAATAATTCTTAAAATATTTCGACTATTGATAATTTTATTTGACAGTTCATATTATACAGTGGCGTAAGACTATAAAGTACTCACTAATATAAAGTAAATTATAATCAAAATAAAAATCGTTCGATCGCTATTACAAATTTCCCGAAGAAACATCTTTCGCCATTTTACTTTTCGCCGTCAGACAAATAGTGATGTCAAACAGAGTTAACATATTATATGTATACGACTTTCATCAGACTCAGATTGTAGAATGATACGACAGAATCGTAATTTTTGTCGCATATGTAAATAGTAAGAGTGTATCTTAATATTGTAAAAATTATTTTTTGTTATATTATAACACATTTACATACTCGGACCTACATTATGTTATATTTTATTAAATATTTTGAATGAACATTTAATTCTATATATATAATGTAATTGTTTTAATAAGAAAACCAATTGTTTTCCAAAAAAAATAGAAAAATAAAATTTAAAAAAATAAATTGTGTATTATAAGTATAACAATAATATTATAATCTATAAGGATAAAAATAAAATATTAAATTAAAACATAAATACAACAATTTCTATATAACACGTATATATACCTTAAAAAAGTATATTATTTATTATACTATGTATTCATTTTAGGAACATCGATTCGTCATTCTTATATACTAACAATAATATAATGAAGAATATACCATACATATATATACACAACATAAAAAATAATAAATAATAAAGAGTAATAGAGTAAAAAAGAGTAGAAAAATGAAAAAAATTAAAATTACAATAACAATGTATGTAAAGAAAGAAATATTGCGTTAAATTATATTCTTTCTCCTTCTTCTAAACATACCTTATAAAATCCATATATGTATATGTACATATACAATACTATTATATTAAATGAAATAATAATTTTGAATGAATATCCTTACGGAACGGATCCTATAACTTAAAAATTTCCTATACACAAATAAACACATTTATATACGAAAAATATTTAATTTGATGAGTATATAACAATAACAAAAATATGTAATAATAAACAAGTGTTACATATATATATACACACAATCATACAATCATTTAAAATATTCTACAATCAAAACTATGTACAGTTTAATAAGGCACCTACATATATACCAATATATATGTATACAATCCATTTTGTTGTAAAATAATAAAAGGAGAATGAACCTAACAAAAAGGAACCTCTTTAAATTGAAAACAACCACAAGAAAATGAGAGAAATCAAAAAAGAATAAAGAAAAGAATAGAAGAAAAACTAAATTAAGATAAAGTTGAAATTTTATTATGAGCCACGAAAAATATAAAGAAAACAACAAAAAAAGGAAAAACAAATTACAAGGATAACAAAATAATTTTTAGCACCACCCACTAAATATTTATAAGATTTAAGGACTTTTTCTTCTATTTTTTTTTCCATGTTTTTTTTTTTCTTGTTTTCATATATTTTTCTTTCTATACTCAAGAAATATAAATATTTTCATTTTCTTTTTTTTTGTTTGTAAACTTATTCTAAAAAGATTTCGAAAAATATATGTGCATATATATTAAAGAGAATAAGAAAAATATGAAAATTGAAGACATGCGCTTGGGGAAATTTTTTCTAATAATATAATAGTATATAACAATATAACAGTATGTACATGTATAAAGAATAAAATTTATCATATATAAAAAAAATATTTCTAATTACATATATTTTTTTTTTACTATAATTTTGTGTATTGGCTATATCCTTCGAAACGTATTTTGTGGAACTGCATGTAGAATAAAAATCAAAAATTTCCCCAATAAAATTTGTGGAAATTCTATACGAAATCTGAATGTGGAAATTATAAGAAAAAATATTAAAAATATTTTATATTTAAAATTACAAAAATTAATTTGCAGATTCTGTGTGGATTCTGCAAAATTTATATTTACACATATATAAATGTAAGGATATACAATAGAGGGGTTATTGTTTTTTTAATACAAATACACGAACAATAAAAAAATCACTAGAATTTGTTCATTATTATATTTGTGATGTTAGGTTAGGTTAATAATAAAATAATACAAATTATAAAATAGCTAGTAATAAATTTAAAGAAAAAATAATAATAATTTTTTATAAAAATAAAAAAATGTGTAATTTTTTTTTGATTTTCTATTACAGTTCCTTTTGATACAAAAAATTATTCTAAAATTTTAATTAGTTTTGTTATTAGAATTGGTGAATGTTGTTTATTGGCGTATATAGGGTTAAAAATTATAATTTTTATTTAAAATATTAATAAAATATTAATTAAATAT